TATCCCACACCGATGTTACGCCGAATCTTCAATACATTTTTAAGTTGGCGGGCGTCTAAACAGTGTAGAATAAATTGAACTACTCCAACTTGGCATCATTTTAGGGTGGAGTAATTTGATTGGTTTCTTTTGGGTTATCAAATGCACTCTCTGTTCTACCATAACCGAATCTGTCTCGTATTTGTATGAGTTTCGTATTCAATTTGGACTAGTCTCGTATTTTGAAGGCAGAGGCCCGATAAAAGCGCATCAACAGAAAAATGCATACAAAAAGTGCTGTTGATGTCCGTGGAATGAATTTCAATGCTTTTTTTTTCTTCGCCTCATTTATCGAATACCAAATAATCGTATTAGAGTTTCATTTTAATTTGCCATCGAGCATCGTCGGAGAATAGTTAAGCCAAAGAATCGATTAAAATCGAAGAACTCATTCCTCTTCTCGGATTTAATCTTCGGCATTTTACAAGCATGGACTATATTTCCACGAAATTCCGACTTTTTATGGTTCAAAAGACTGACAACTTTTGATAAAAAAAAATAAAATAAAAACGAATAATAAAATCGAAGAATTTTTTTTTATCGTTGGTTCTATGCTACTTCGTCTTTATCCCCCATCTTATTTGATTACAAAGTTTCATTAGAGAAGTGAAAACGACTTTAATCCATTTTTTCCGACATCTTTTATCTATGTTTGTTCATTTTATTCTTCTTATTTCATCATTTCTCATTGTGGCTGCCAAGATTCATTCCATTTACTGTCATGGTTTAAAGCAAGATTTTTTTCAAGAATTTTACAGCATAAATTTCTCTTTTAGATTACGCCTTTTACAATTCGATGTGCGCATTACGAGCAACGAAGAACGAAAAAAGAAATTTGTTTGTTTTGTAGTTAATATCAAATAATCCTTGGTTCGTCGAGTCAAACGAACGAGATTTTCGATTTTAGGTTTGTAGTTGTGTGTTGGCGATGATGGTATATATATGTATTTGATATACAAGGTATTACGTAGTTACGATATGAAAAATGAATGCGCACTGCGATGTTAACAAGTAAAAAAGTATTTGAAAAACGCCCAATGGATGGTAAATGATGTCGCATCAACAAGATATCGTTCAAGAATCAATGCAGCCAGTGTCGGTGATTTAACATCGAAACAGAGACACAACGAGAAGAAAATAAGTGGACGAATCAGGGCGAAACGTGGACTAGACGATGATAACGACTTACATATATGCATCTGTATATACCGAGTGTAAAATAAGAATTCCCTTGTTAACCGGAACAAACACACTAAATGGAACAGACTCATTTAATGTTTAACCCGAAGCAATCCATCATCATTTCTGATTCTGCTGCTTTTCGAAAGGAGAGGGAGAACATGCAGATGAATTGAAGACGCAAGGAGAAGAATAGCACAAGAACAAATCACGGCTGATCTTTCGGTTGTCAGGCTGGAAACTAGTACCTGTGCAGTATGCACATTGCACACACACACACATCACCTCCCATTAAGATTACAGTCGCCTTCGCTCTAATGGATGTGCAACTTATTTTTCAAGTTTTTTTTCCTCATCATCCTGTAATGTCGAATATAACGCTCTATGATTTGTCACTGTGTACCTGCCATGTTTTGATGGCTCGACAAGACAGACGATTCTACTTGTTTCAATATATTTCAATCGTTGTATAATTGGAAATAGTGCATGCTGCTGCTGCTGCTAGCACTATGTACAGTGTTCTGTACACACAGTTGTCGTGCACGCCGTAAGTTTGACTGTTTGTGTGGGTCGTTAGGCTTCCGAATGACCGTGTAGCTTTCTATTTGTTCACAATTCGCGTCAATTAAAATTACAGTATATGCACACAGCTCGACCGTTTTTCACATCTTCCGGCATTATTGTTGATAATTCACATTGCACATCTTTTCGCTCACCGCCAGTCACATCGTTTGTCTGGTGTTTCGGTTCATATTTAGTCTATTTAGTTTTAGAACTACCTGTGACATTTGCAAGGCAAATGCAAATATTTAAGCTGGAATTAAATAGAACCAGCGAACAAAACAAACTCGACAGAACTCAAACAAATGGATTTCTCCGATTTTGATTGCACGCCAAAGGACGATATAGAATAGCGACAGACACAGAAATAGAGAACGAGAGCAAAAGAAAGAGAGAGAGAGGATGAATTGGTAATTCATGCCATGATGAATGAATTTTTGCTTCAATTTAATGGTTTATTTTTTTTCTGTTCCATGCCGTAGATGCAGGTACTCCGATAAAGTGACAGTAAACGCCAACGAAGCAAACACACACACACACATAAAAAAGCGGACAGAATGACTTGAAATATGATTAAGAATGAGTGCTCCAGACGATAAAGGAAACGATATGAAATGAGATGAATGTGTTTGCGATGCATTACGGCCGTCGTTCCCGTCACTTTGAATAGTTGTAAATGTTTGGCGTGTGAACAAATCCACAATGTGAATAGGATACACAAAACAAATGTAGTAATCATTCAATGTGAAATATTTGGATGAATGATGTGCCTCTGCTTCAATGATCGCCGGTGACGTTCTACTCAGTTGTGTTTGTTTGCGCAGCTCAACATCGAATGACAAAGAATTGGAGATGAATGAAGTCTTAACCATGATAAATACGGTTTTTTTAGAAAATTAAATGCATTTCAAGTTTTAACTCCGGTGGTCCAAAATTCAGTACAACTTATAATTGAAATTTCCACCCGCTTTTAAACTGCATTTGCCGTAACATGAAAATAATACTCTTAATAATGTTAACATCATTCGTATTTATTCAAAAACTTTAGCGCGAATCCAGGGAAAAACATCGCCATGGACATGACTCATATTTGCTTTCGCTTTTGGGTTACAAAACCGAAAGCAGTGAAAATACACAACGAATACCATTCAAATCGAATAAATCAATGACACACACACACACACAGAGAAAAAATGATGACATTCCCCGAACATTTGCAAAAAGAGAGCGGAAAACGGAGAACAAAAAAAAACGGATTGCAGATAAATGGATTAAGTTACAAATGGATTAACATTCAAAAGGTTTTCAAATAAAACGAAAGAGAAAAAAAAATGTTGATGTGCTTGTGCATATTTGTCATTTCGAACTTTTGCTACGGCAAACGGTTTTTTTTTTTATAGTCGGTAACGAAAAGGAGTTTTACTTTATATGCTATAGCTACTAAGTTCATTTTACATTTTCAGTTTTATTCTTTTGTGGCGCCATTCGTGCCGCACACAAACAATAGAAGCGCATATTTTTTGTTGATTTCAAGCTCTATCCCAAAAAAAAGTCGATGAATTAGTGAAATGAACGCAAATCCAAAGTCAATTTTTACATGAGTTTCAAACTGAACGGAACGGAATTAAACTGAATACAATTCGAAGAGGGAAAAACGTATGCTTCGGTATTGGTGGTGATTGTCGACATAGAAAGCACATGTTCGCCAATTGGCAAATTCCGAAAAATTATGTATTCTGATCGATTTCCCCCGATTTTTTTTTCTTGAAATGCTAACCTTTTGCCAGTGTGAAGGCAACAATTTTTTATTTTCTCTCTCTTCGTCAATTATGATTTACTTATTCAATGCAAACAAACGAATCCCTAAAGTAAATGCGAGGCGACAGGCCACATTCAAAGCAAATTGAACAATTTAGGTTCGTTCATCAGTTTCACGTACTTTGTGGCATTTGTTGGGTGGCCCATGAATTTCATATGCGCTTTGAGAATTAACTGCCAATGCCAATGTGGTGCTCAAACAAAATGAGGAACAAGAGGAAAACAAAGAAATGAGCTGCTTTGATGCAGCCAAACATTGTCGACTGCTGCTGACCAAACAAAGCACAGCAACAATAATAAACATGTCGTAAACACTGAACGCATTTGACAAATGGCAAAGACCAAATTAACTTTCTGCAAACGGGCGTATAAATTCCATATTTTCACCGTCAAAGCCATCGCTGGTCGTATATTGGTGAACGAGACGGGAGCGTATCGGTATTTGAAACACGTGATTTAAATCATTTGAAGCAAAATATCGAAGCTGAAAATTATACGACGAAAAAAAAAATGTCTCATTCACGGGCACAGTCAATTATCGACGATGGCAAAAATGTGCACAGCGTTATTCACTCTCTATCGTCGATTTGATAATTTCTACGCTCATAAATGGCAATTTCGGTACGAGCGTCATACATACATATATATTTTTAAATTTTTAGTTGTTTTCTCGTTAACAGTTACAGATTTTTTATGTATTGTTCTGTTTACCGTCAAGCGCTGTAATTTAGATTGGTCAAACCAAACCATGGTGATGATAACAATCGTCATATCGCAATCACGACACATATACAGAGCGTTCACTGTCGCAAACCTGGTTGAATACAATAGCCAGCCATAATAAAAACCCATAAAAACCCGAAGCCAGAATTTCCATCGAGATTCACCAGAGAATAAAAACAGTTCGTCCAAACTATAGTAATGAAACAAAGGCAGAGGAAGAAACGTACAAGCGACCGCGCGCATCCATTAACAAAAACTCGGAAACGAGAATAACGAATAAAACACCGGATGTACTTGATGTAACTTTTGTGACCGCATCGCTATTCATTTTAGATATCATGCATTTCGCTAGGTTTATTGCCATTTTTACCTTGTTGCATACACACATTGGACACAACATACAACAAAATGTAAATACGGTCGGACGTTTTTCATTACCATTGCGTGCTTTATACACGAATTTAGAGCATGTCATCGTTTATTATGCTCGTACGAGCATCAGCAACGGTGTAACAAAAACGGCATATAACGCGCATGGATGCAATTTGTAGGGACTTGTGCCAGTTTTAATCATTTCTTTTTTTTCTTTCTCTTCATTGTCTCCATTTTGGTCAGAATATATTATGACCGATGGCCTGCTATTATTTAATTTTTCATCGGGGAATTATAAATGTCTTTACCTGTTTTCCTGACGCAACAATTGATCGCCCAACAAAATTTCGTTACGGCCGGCTTGAACTAGTAATGAAGAATTTCCTTTAGATGATATGCGATTTATGTCAGACGCAGTCGTGCCGTCTGTTGGCTCCAAATCACCTTCTGATAGTGTTGATAGCTGCTGCTGTTGTGTGTCGCAAACGATAGACGAAAAAAAAAACAAAGGAAAATTGCTTTGTTAAGCACAAATGACAAAACAAATTGACGTTATGAAAAAAAGCAAGATGCAATAAATAAAAACGATTCTATGCATCGTTGATTTGATGATCCAGTTACTGTCATTGCGAACTGTTTGAGTTTGACATTGACTATTCATACAAAATGTCATAACTTCTTCATAGACGAATATGCAACATTTGTAACCACATTGTCTCGATTTAGATCATAAAATCCGATGAATAGACTGGCAAAGCGTGTCAATCAGTGAATTTGTTTGTTTTGTTTACGTGGTGATGGTGGTGGTATTGGTGATGATTGAACGTACTCTTACCTCTCTTCGGGGACCGTGACCATTCGCTAATAGTTCGCTACTAGTTGCTGTTTTCGATGTATTTCCATACTTAATACTATCACCGGATGCTAGTGCTGCCGTCCCACCTCCTGACAATGATGATGCATGTAAGGCAGTATTTGTTGCCGTTTCACTTGTACTACTGATGCAATTACCGCTATAAACGACCGTTCCACCCGCACTTCTCACACTAATATTATTGCTGCTGGTGCTTGTGTTATTGTTCAAAATATTTTGGAATGCTTGCTGATCGTTTGTGATCAATGTTCCTTTGGCACTTTCACCGATTAGCCAACCGCCGGCTAGGGGTTGTTGATTCACCACTTTCGTTTGTGTTTGCTGCTGTTGCTTGTTGTGTATGGAAGCGGGCGGCTGATGCACGTGTGCAATTGATTGAATGGTTCGCGATTGATTCGAATCAGACGCTATAGATCCCGATACTGTATTCACCGGCGGTGAAAATGTGGTCGACGTCTGTTGTGAATTGCTACTTGATAAATTTGATGTCGTTAAGGTTGTTGTACCAGTTACGTGATTTCCCGTCAACGATGTTACATAAATTGGTGATGCTTCGTTCAAAAAACTATAGTCTTGCGCTTGTGCACCTTTGGTCGACTGACTCTGTTGATTTAACTGTAAAACAAATCAAGCGATAACATGATTAATGACACTATAATTTTTTTCGGAACATTACTCGACAATGAAAATTTACTATTTCCCTTCAATTGGAGCGCGCGTCATGTTGCTGTGCGGAAACCTAACATTTGAAATCATTTTTTCTTCCTGCTCATTCGACTTATGGTAGTTTTTCTTGTTGCTCTCGCGTGTCTAATAAAATGCAATTTTTGTTCGCTACAAATGGTTCGCTGTTCGGTTGGATGGAGATTTTTTCATTTTAAATTGTAATAAATTGCTATGGAAATTGTTCAAGACGCTCTCTTCTTCTCGCTCTTGGATGGCTCAATGGCACAGTGGTGTGCAACGAATGACAAAACTTCATGTTTTATGCACTTCACGGAGAATGTGTGTTTGTATCACGTTAAAATTCTGATTCTGCAGAAGTCGCAATGCAGAAGTGAGAACGAGAAAGAAAAATACGACGAGGAAACTATTGACATCGGTGCTCGATTCGATCCTACACATTTGGGAGATATTTGCCAGATGTACTGCGCGCTGTTGAGAACATGCAAATAACAGATTTTATTTTTTATGTGTACAACTCATTCTTTGGTATCGCAGCAACAAGAGAAATCATTTTTCCTTTCATTTCATTTTATTTCTGCTACTATACTATGTACTATAATACATCTATAGTACATGCAGTTTTTGTGAATGAGCTACGCTCTCAACTGTCGTTCACTATCCAGTTGCCATTAACCATTTGAATTGCATAGAATCTGTCGTTCGAATCGTGTTCTTTACTAAGTTTTATCAGTAATTTGTTACAATTACAAATAAATGTACATACAAACTACTGAGCTTGCCCCTGTTGGGTGTATATGTCTTCAACTGCTGCTGCGATCGAACACTCTCCAGACATTGCAGAAGCGTATGGCAGAATTTACGTTTACGTAATTTAATCACAGCAGTATCAATCAAAATGAAAATAAAATGAAATAAAGGAACATAAAAAGGAAAACTTTTCCAAAGTGAAATAATTTGTGTACACTTAAAAGTGACTGTGTTCACGGCGCACAGCTAATTTCATCGAATGAAAAATGAGGAAAATACTTAGAATTCAAGCGGGTAATTTTGAAAAGTTCCATTTTAGCCATAATGGGAATGCTTTGGGTAATATAGCGCCCGAGAGAAATTCATTTGAGCGATTTGAAAAATGAAACACAAATCGATAGCATCAAAAGGGTGTTTATGTTTCGGTTCGACATCTTTCTTTTTCGAGTGCGATTCGGCACTCCGCACACACAGCGACAATACAGATGAATAATAGCTTCTTAAAATATATAAATGGCGCAATTTATATGCTTCAGCATACGGATTATGGTAATTTTCGCATCTTTCAACAGAATACAGTTAATTATCTTGTTCGAGTTGTTTTATCGCGACTTGGCTCTTTTTTTCTCCCTCCCTCATTCTCTTCTCGTTCTTTTTTTTCGTCGTCGTCGTCGACGTCGGAGACGATGTCATTTATTTATCTATTTTATGCAGTTTTGCGGTTTTTCTCGAACAAAATACGTTACATTTGGATTGTGTGTCGTTTTGGTATTTGGTCTCGCGATACAATTTCATTTGTCGTCTTGCACAAAATAAATAACACATAATTGCCACACTCGAAACGTACTAAAAGTTTTGTAGCACGACCAAGCTAAAGCAAATTGTCTTGAATTATGCATTTCTTGTGAAATTAAATTATCATGCATTGCGTCGGTGAAGACGAACGGAACTCCTTTTGCTGCATGCGTCACATAATAATAGTCATTAGACAATTTGTTGTAATGCTTTTGTTTGGTTGTTGTTGTTCTTGTGTTTATATTTCTTTACGTCATTTTCGTTCAAAGTGAACGATTTGAAAAATGCAACGTTTTCATTTTCAACGGCTCTGTTATGCGCTCGGCGCTTACATTTTTCGCCTAGATCCATGCGGTCGCATACGGAAATTGTATTCATTTAGCAAAACATTTAACTATTCCCACAGTTTATCATGTAATTTAAATATCTTAACAGTTGCATCTTTCGTCGGAAGGCGATGTTGATAAAAGTAACGCTGCAAATCTTTTAAATTAACAATTCAACTTTGTCTGCAACATTTTCACCGGTGACGTATCATACCTGTTTACTGGCTGACTGACATAGACTAGCAAAACTATCAAGTTGTTGCAAAAACCAGAAAATGAGGTGAAGCGCTTGTTTGCCAGAATATTTATCTTTCATTCTCTTTCGTTTTTTTTCCTGGGCAGCAACCGAATAACCACAATTGTCTATTGTTTTTTTTGTCATTTTTTTTTGTAAATATTTCTTTCTCTTTTTGTTACACAAACTATTTCAGGGAATTTTGAATGTAATTCGAATTTTCCCTTCGAATTTCATTGTGAAAACTATTCCATATTGCGTATCCCATTTCATAACTTCTCTGGCTGTGGCTTTGGTAAGCAAAGTTTGAATTTAATGAATCATGTTGGATGCGGATTTAGGATTCAATAAATCCAGAGCATCACCACACTCCAACGTTGAATTTAATTGCCAGTTGAGAAAAAAATCAGCACAAAAATGGTGAAATGTGAACTGTTAGCAATATGGTCAAATTTGAAAACTAAGCCACAGCATATAAATGCATATTGCTCCAATTAAAATGTTTAAATTTTTCACTTCAGCAAACTTTTCAAAACGTGTTCTTGTTGCGGTTGCTAGCTTTCCGAATAATTGAAATTGATTAAACAATGCGATACAATAGCAACAATCAAACTAACCGAATGCAACATGATCATTATTATACTTTGTCAACATGAGCTCATCATCCGCACAACATTTTCCAGGAATTCATTCTAATATTAAATGTAATTATTTTTTGTTTTTGTTTTACCTTGATTGACAGCTGTGACATGTCAACCGGCGTGATTCGTTTGAGAGCTGACAAACGCTGCAAACGTTCACGAGCTTGTTGTTCAACAGCAATGACGAATGCATCTTGAACAGCATTACCAAGTTCACCAGCTAAAACGAGATAAAAAATAGAAATGTTAGTAAAAGCAAATAAAAAGGCGTGTGATAAAAAAGAATTATAGGGAAAAGTTTGCAATTTATTGAACGCCAAATTAAATCGATTGTAGTGACACACATTTCAATGAACACCAGGGAGTTTCAATAGCAATATTTCGACGGAAAATGCAGTCAATTATTCATAAATTTATATATCCTCAATAAGAAAATATACTTAATCGTTGCCGTTGATCGATCCTAAGTACTCATAAAAAAAACAATCGTTAAATCCTATCACAAAATGAATCAAAACACTTATTCAGGCCATTTGCGCCAACTGCGTTATATTGATTTGGAATTTTCTTCAATGAATAAGAGAAAAAAAAGCAGCACACAAATTCATTTTCCACAACTTTCTGAAGGCGAATAAAGTTATTCACCTCGACATAAATCTTTTGCCGTTCATGTCTCTTTTAAAAGCATATGGCGGAATATGCAAAGCGCAAATGCAATTTCGTTCGCAATAAATAGCAAGCATAAAAATAAATAAAAGTACGCCATGTCAAAGGCATGGCCAAACTACGACGTTGCTCGAACGACGAAAACATTGCTCAAAGTCATAAATACGTTTATTTTCACACATTATTTGTAGGTTTTCATGCTGCTGCTGCTGATGATGATGCTTCACATAGCTGTTGGCAGAAAGAGGCAAGTGCAAGTCTGCAATTTATTTTTGAAATTATAGAAAAAAAAAACAAAAGTTTTTGATAAGCCTTTCGAAAAGTTGAGTTTGTCGAGAGAGCGAAAGAGAGAGAGAGCCTTTTTTATGTACTGCCCGCGTAACAGTAGAAGCATCGAGGGGTCGAACAAACTGTCGATAAAATTCTTAGGTAGATTATCAACAATCACTATTTCTGAACTAATAATTGAATATTCAATATCGAACGTTCCCTAGATCTCTCGATACGCATTCGATTCAGTGTAAACTCATCTTTATTCCCAATCAAAAGCTCCTTCCCATTCATACACTCATGCACACGTTGGGGCCCCTGGAACGAAAGCATCTTATGAATGTTTTATGCGATATGAAATGTTCACTCCATTTTGACGGACCGATTGGCCTGTGAGTCAAACACAGGAAAGTATAGATGTATATAGATACGAACATAAAAGTCGACCGTTGCGAGTAGTGAAGTGAAAGATATCGAGAAACTCGATGCGTAATCTAAAGTTGGTAGGCATCAACATCAAGTTACAAACTCATATTGCGAATGTATACCGAACGATCTCAATTCCAGTGTGAGTATTCCATTGAATTCCCATCAGATGGTGAGCTAGTACTCTGTAACGTGCTTTACGTGTTTCAATTTGCAAACGACACAGGGAATTCGAATGAATTCGAGACCATAAGTGTGTCTTAATTATTTATACGACTGACCAAATAATGTCAGTAATTCATGAGCCAAAAATCTCGATAAATGGCATGTATTTTGTTTTCCTTGCGCGGCCACTTTTCCGAGCAATGGAGTAAAGTAAATCACTTGTTTTGATGGTTGCGAATGATGTAACGAATTATCCTACGTTGTTGTGCAAATGTATAAGGCTACAAGTCTACTGAGCTGCAAGAAGCACAACGTTGGAAACTATGTTTGACTGTGCAGATGGGTGGATAGATACATAGATTTTCATTGGAAAATCCCGTACTCAGCGTAATAATGGAATTAAGTGAATGTTGCAAATATGCGCTTATGATAACCGTTTAAACGATTTGATGTATCTCGGTTATGTCGCTTCGGCGGAAATTCGTGACTCGTAAATAATCTGGCGAGAAACAGTTTTTCATGAGGTGAGGATGTGCAATAAAATGATATCTATCACACTGTTCCCTCAATGCCACTAATAGACATAGAATGGATATGTGTGCCAACCGCTGCCTTGCTTCGCCTTGCCTTGCCACCATCATGTTCTCATTACTTCATTTTTTCATTCTCTCGCAGCCAACAGATGAAACCGATTTTTTTTTTGTGTAAGTGGATCTTGATGTTGTCTTTTTTTACGGGCGCCGCAAGTAGCAACGGAAACATTACATCGAAATAAGTACAGTGAATATTTCATCCAGATGAGAATATCGTCCGTAAAGACAAAAAAGCACTGTCACAATGATGAATAACTATGACTTTGACATGAGAGAGAGAGAGAGGGAGAAAGAAAGAGATATACAGACAAAAAAGAATAGCACGATGACATTAACTTATGTACCTCACTCGCGGATAAATCATGTGTAGCCGCTTTTTCTTGGATTTGTATTTTTCTCGTTGCCGGAGAAAATTGAAATGGCTCTTGTTCTCTGTGGGTTTTTTGTTCTTTTATGGTCGGAATCAAATATCATTTTTCCCATCGGATGCTTATGTCATCTGCAGCTTAGGTGAGAGAATGTTATTCTTATAAACGCCAACAACAGCTAACTACTAGCACTAGCTTGTTAATATTGTTGTTTACATTGTTGACGAGGTTGGAGGAGATTTGTGGCAATAGTTGCCTTCGATTCAATTGGTTTTCTCTTTATATCCAATGATAATTGATATTAATTTACAATGACTAGTGATGGACCGTAGTGGAGCAAGACGGCAGTGAAATAGTGCACATGGCAGCTGCAATTTTCAACGCTTTTTATTCAGTTTGGTGAACTACAAGCGCATTTAAGTTTATTCTTATAAGAGATTCCATGGTTGTTGAATGTAATTCAACGCCACTAAGCTAGAGACATCTCTGTCCGGCTATACGGCAAACAACAGAACCAACACTGAACATGAAAATGACATGTTCAATTGTGTTTGTTTTGTTAGTTTCAACTGTGGCGCTACGAGAAGGTCACTTTTGTCGTTTCTTTTTGTTATTTTACATGTAAAATTAATGGTATTAGACGAGGATGAGAGAGTCAATACGGTTCTTGAGAGTGAAATAATAGCCGTAGGCGAAATTGTTCAAATTGAATTGATTTGAAATTGCAGACAACCATTGGTGGAAAAATCACTTTGAGTGTTTCCAATGAAATTTAATTGTCTGAAAGACGCAAACCAATACAATAGTAACCAAATGGCTCAATGTTGTGTGGTTTGTAACTGAAATGAGAACCGACCACTCCGTGCTAGGCTCAATTTACTTAAAATCGATCGAATTTGAATCGATAATAAACGGTCATACAAAGTGGCTCACTATTTTCCGTTTACATCATTGTGTCAAATTTACTTTTGCTTCAACGAATCGAAATGTTTCGTTTGCAATGCCACAAAGACGAAGCAATTACTCCCAAGTGGATTCAACATACAGGATAAAAATGAGAAGAATGAGGAAAAACAACATCGAAATGAACATTCATTCAACGAATGTACATATCTTCTTTTGACGCCGAAAGAAAGTAAATCTCTCTGTGTGAGTGTATGTGTGTGTGTGTGTGTTAAATGCAACGCTGTTTGAATGTAAATTTTATGTCTTATCCGTCGTGTATGATTGAATTTATTCGTCAATCCCGATGCGATGAAGTTTATGGCTTGCGATGGAAATGTACCTGTTGCTTTAATTCCATTATGTCGTGGCGCAGAATGACTACAGTTTGATTCATCCCAGTCGTCCATCAATATTCCATTTCTAATGGCACGATTCCAATGTATATTGCCGTAAATATGATTGAGTGTGTGTCAATTGAATCAATTATATGCATTTGCGAGCATCATTTTCTTGTCATCGTTGGCACAACACTAGAGATCAACACGGATCTCGGGTCTATTTGTTGATGTGTCGCAACAAAATGCACTGTGCTGTGCGCTCACTGCATGTGATGAAGGGTTCCAATGCTTCGCCTTTTTTTCCTCGTACCATGTTCAAATAAAAGAATTTTCCGGCTTTACTTTTCATAAAATAAAAACTGATTTTCTGCTAATTGATTTTTCTCTTTCTTTCATTCTCGCTCTCGCTCTTGCTTCGATAAAACAGTAAGCTCATTTCAACAGAACCTTTCAACGTATTTCATTTTAACGTCAAATCAATTTCAGATCAGAAATATTGGTTACTATAGCTTCCAGCGACCTGCTATCAATTCAATTTCACAGAATGGGAGAAAAAGATGAAAACGGTCCACACGACCATCGCAAAGCGTTTGAAGAAAAAAATGCTTAACAAACACATTTTTTTCTTCAAACAATGACTTACATCGAACTGAATAATTAATTGAAATGTGATTGGTAATTGTTTCATCGCCTGGGAAAAATTGATAGCTTGCTTTACATTTGCACAAGAGAGAATGAGTGGCAGAGTTAATGGATGGAATGACCGGTGGATTTCCTATTTGAAGTCATAATATTTAAATGGAATATTCATTTGCAATCGATCGTTTTTGCAGCATTAGCACACCTCGATTCTGCTGACATTTGATCACATCCAACGACTGCTAGTGTCGAACGTAAATGCACGCAAATGCTGCATAATATTAAACGCACCCATTAATTTTTCATTGTTTTCCTATTAAGAATGGATGCGTTTAGTATTATGTGACTTGACACTAGCAGTCCATGACCACATCATCAATTTTTTGTCTCTGTTTCCATTGCGTTTTCGATTGAAACTATGACATAATTATAATCACGGTAATTGAGAATACGCAGAATATATATATATATCCATGGGTGTTGAATGTCATTCAACGCCACTAAGCTGTAGACATCTCTCTCCGGCTATACGGTAAACAACAGAACCAACACTGAACATGAAAATGACATGTTCAATTGTGTTTGTTTCGTGGTATTAGACGAGGATGTATAATCATATATAGGAATGGGATTAAATGAGTGTTTTGATCACCAATGGCTGAATTAATTGGGCTTTTTCTGCTTTCTGTCGCAGCAACCACAGCCAGGCCCAATTAGATTTGTGCATTGGTAACTTGTGTGAGTATAGCAAAACATAAATAATGAATATTTATAGCATAGATAGGTAACAACGCACGCAGGAAAAAAAAGAGAAAAAAAATCACCCGCAGCTAAAATATGATAACGACTATTGGAGTGAATTGTATAGAGAGGGATTACAAGAGGATTTTGACATCGGCTGATGCTGAACATCCATTTCAATCACATGGATCTATCCAATAAATTTATATCGTGTCGAACGATTGTGCGACCACACTGTCGTGAGTCACATCCATTGAATCTGGTCACACACGAAAAATCACTCAATCTAACAGCAAAATGTACTTGATATGCATATATTCGAATCAATATTTTGAAACGTTTTCGTTGCATTTTATGCACGGCTCATCACAGGACGATTAAATATTCATCGTTGTGAATCTTTTGTTTACTGTCAGACAGGTACAATGCAAAAAAAATTCGGAAAAAAATCGAAATTGTTTGAATAAACTGCCCGTAATTGACCATACAAAACCAAACTTGAACACACTCGTACATATTTGTACGCTAACAAACTCAACCACATGCAAATGTTTTTCTGACAGCGTCTTTTTTTTTGCTGTGTCGTTTCGCACAAGAGTCATCTTAGGTTTGTATACGGAATGAATGTAGAATCCATTTGTGAAATAAAACTTTCTCATTTTTCTTGCATTTCTTGGTCTATTTCTAGAGTACTTTCGATTGCTTTGCTAAATTGCATTTCCTGTTGGAAATATTGTTGTCATGTACAAGGGACACCATTGCTTGAGTGCGTGCACAGCTGCACATGTAGCGAACGAAGTTGTCACATCAGAAAATATTTGTTCACAGAAAAAAGTGTATTTGATGTAATTGCAATGTTTGCATATTTCAATGTAGTTGCATCAAAATGTTATGTCAATTCGTGTTTTGCATATTTGCAATTTGCCTTCTTGTTTACAACGATCGACATTGATATTCTATCGTATTAACCAACCACTATCATTTGTGTTTCTTTTCATTCCGACTGGAACCAATTCAATATTCAACTGACTTTTTTCATATAAGCTAAAACTCGTGCATTTGTAAATTTGTTAAAAAGTTTTATTGGTGAATATAGGAAGAAAAACATAAAAACAGGGTTCCCTATTCCAGTCTACAACGAATGGATGCGCATATTTTTGAATACATTTTTTTGTGATCGTGCATTTGATGTTTCATGATGATTTTTCCGATGCGGCTCACATTATCCGTATTTTCTCAAACAAGCAAACTGCTTGCAGCTAGCGTAAAACGATGGAACTTTCGATTTGCGTCCAAAATGGAATGACCGAAACAATCATCTGGCACCGTGTTTCGCAGGACTTTTAGCTTCTGCATCAATAATTGCACTTCCGGTTGGTGTGCTATTTTTTGTTTTAGAAATTGATTGAATTTATTAGTCTGAAAAAACTTTTTTCAAAAAATGCATACCCTTTACGGTTTTACGTTCATCAAATGGCACATCATCACAATAATTTGATGGTTCATCACGTTTTTCTGTATCGCAAATTTAAAAATGGGTACAATTTCTGATGAATTAAATTATTTAACAAATTCAAACTCTTTCTGGTATATTCCGAACACAAATGTCTACAAATGACAACGGATGAACGGTTTGATTGGGTATGACTATGTACTTTGCTTTCAAGCAATGATTGTAAGAGGAATGATCCTACCGAACCGAAGCATCTCATAATCAATTGAAAAAAGGCCTACTTTTCGGAAATTAAAGACATAAAATTGATTGCTTCCACATCTTCACGAATAAAAGTTGTATTTCTTTTTTTTTATTGAGACTATGGCATGGCCATTTTTTCATTAAATTTTACATTTTTTTTCATTTCCAAAAAATTAGCACCATTTCGACTGATAGAATCCATATACTCGGTTATTCTACATTTTCCTTTATCGTTGCGTGCCTTCGTAAACCATTTTTCAACATCGAGTCCGCAGCTTTTCTCGTCCTTTTTCTCTTCCGGTTTTTTCGGTTCGGGTTTTTTCTCTTTTTTCACTTGCGGAAGCCCTAAAAGGATTATTCAAATGTGTTTCTTTCTTTCATTTTGTATTCAATAAACCGTGTCAATCAAATATCTACCAATGTCACAGACGCAAACACACGTATCCAACACACTTCGTGTTTCGCACTTTTTTATCGGAATATAAAGTCCAAGATAAGTTTCCATTTTGTACTTTCAATTTTGTTGATTAACTCAAAGAAATATTAGTTTTTTTCTTCTTTTTTTTTCTTTATCTGATTCAAACTTTTAATTTTGCCGATGATTTCAATTTCTTGAAAAAAAAAAAAAACAAATGTACTTTGGATTTGAACAAATTCGCAATGCCTACTATTCTGATACGAACGAATAAATACCGAACCGACTACTTCGATTCAAACTTTTTTCAATTCAAATCAGAAACGAGTCCAATGATTTTCTCCCAATATTATTCAATTTTTGTACTTCATTTCATTTTCAACAACTTCTCAAGTAGCCTAGGCTTATTTCGTCGAAGTTCAATTTCCATTTTGAATGCATGGGAACAACACAACTCTTTAGAACAACTAATGAGATTTGAATAATGGATGCAATTATTGAAAAAAAAAATGCATTTCATTTTGCTATCGTAATTGTGAACCAGAACAATAAGAATATGATCTTTAGACCAATTAGATAGGAATTTTTTTCCCCTTTCCTTTGCATTGCAAAATCCGCAGTTACGCAAACACAAGCATTCTCCAATGAATCAAATGAATCCTAAATTTATATTTTAACGGCTAGTGGTTCAAATGTCGGTTATCATCATGTTGAACTCATTGGAATTCAGTGAAATTCACTGAACGTACTGTATACTTTATGAAAATTTCCTATATGAAGCCGATAACAATTATTGTCTTCTCCATACTTAAGCTGAGTGACAATGTTTGGGGAGCTGCATCTGTTGATAAGCTTCATAATATGCAATGAAACTGTTGATAATTATATTAGTTATTATAATTTTATTTATTAAAACTTTTGCATGGAATATATGTGTCATATATGCAGCATTTCATGTAGCGAAATTATATCTCCAGGCATTTCTCTGGCTTGATGAGTAACGTCACAAATGCGTTCAACGAACGCTTGCGTGAAATGTGTATATCATGTGAAATAATTCGCAAATACATATTGTGAAGATGATGGACGCTTTTGTATTGAAATATAGGCCAATCGATTATATTAGGGGTTTCTTTCGTATGGTTTCGGTCTGCGTTATGCTAATAGTCTCCTATTCACGCAAGCTCAAGAAATATCGAAATTCACGTGGTTCAAAATGAATTATTCGAAATGCAATATCCTCCTGGTGTGAACTATGTTTGTTATTTTCCGCTGGCCATTGCTGTTCCACTGGTAAAATGCATGAAAATCAGAGTTGGAGATATTTTTAATTTCAGAGCATCACTTTTGGGTTGGGTGTTTCAATGCTGAATAAAATTAACGAAAGAAAGCATTGTTGTGCTTGTACGTTTTTTCAGAACAGCAGTGCCAACATCACAAGCGCTTTTCATCCAATCTCATTATATTCTTGTGTTCAATTTTCATTTTTAATTTGAATGAATATTGCTTTAATTAAATCGAACGAATTTTCTTCTGGTAAATTGATATTATTAAATGAACGTTGATTGCATTACACCGACTTTTCATGCATGTTCTCAGTGGTGATAATGCCACAGCAAATGGTATATCACGTTACGGTGGTGGTTATAAGAATGCATTTTACATTTTGTTCATGCAAATTTAATGCTACAATAGTAACACATCTTAAGCTTCACGCTTCGCTACTGCTGCTGGCGCTGCTGCAATAAGTTCAAACAAGAACAATGAGACAGTTATCGTTCATTTGGCCACCGAAGGCGCGTCAAGACGAAAGCCCAAAAGTGGATGCTCTTATACAGTAAGTGTTGAAGATTTCAAACTTCAAGTAAGGATTAAACACTTTTCAATTTATTGCAATTAATTTTATCGGAGATAATTTTACATAAATTTGTTTCATACTTTTTTTCATCTTCCTTAAACTGAAAGCAGACTTAAAATTTGAATTACACGCTGGAAATTTTTAATTTTACTTTGCATTTGACTTTGTACACAGTTTTCCACTTGGCTGACTCCAAACTGACTGCTCGCCCTCTTTGTAGTAGTAGTCTTTTTTGGGTTTGAATTTGCTCTTTAATCCACCGCACACAGTATTTATGTATTCGCATTTCGGCTTACGGAAGATATCTGCGTTCAAATCCACAACAAATGGATGCTCACATTCCCTACGTCTGCATTTTTGATGGCAGTGAAAATTGGTGTTCATGATAACGTGACCGATGCGGTTCACATTATCCATATATTCCGAAACAGGATATTTGCTTGCGAAAAGCTGTCGACGTGCTTCTTTCCCTTCTGGGCTGAGCTTACATCGATCGAAGCAATCGTCTGGTACACAATTTCGCTTGGGCTTTGGCGGTGGTGGATCGCTTGAGTCTCGGCAAGCTGCATCCAATAAAAATCATTTGAATAAACTAAAACAATAAAATATTCAATTCAAATGGCTCTAACCCTCGTCGCTTATCCGCTTATCGAATGGCATGTAGTCCGAATGGTATGTGGATTTTTGACTGAATATATTTTTACTACTGCAGCAGGCCATTTCAATCGATGGCTTAGATATTGAACTTAAATTCACAAGTAATTTATTTCCGGAAACAGTTCGACCCGGATTAAAATGGCCTCGAAATAACAGAAATTTGAATAGAAAGCGAAAATTTCAATTCTATCGCCTTCCAGCAGTAAATGAAAACTGAGACAAACGCTACTTGGATTTTTCCGAAAAGCGGTTTTTTCGTTTCTACGTTTACAATCTTTTTCTCAATTCGTGTAGAAATGATTTTCTTGCATTGAATTTCTTAATTTAACGCTCTACACATACATAGACAAAATGGATGAATGTTGTATTGGATTGCAGTTTGATGTGCTGTTGCCAAAATTCCTTATATCGTAATCTATTATCGTGGAAAAATGTCTTCGTTCAGTGACAGCAACATGCGGCTGCTTAAATTGAATTCATATCAAAATCTCAAATAGCATAGGACCCAATATACTCTGTCATTTAATGAAATGAAATCTAACAATTTACACTCAGCATGAATGTCAGTCGCACAATTTATCGGCAGCATATTGGAATTATTTGATTATTTCCTAGCGAAATTAATCGCTTTGAGCTGTCTTCTTCACATTTCGCTGCAACGTCACTCCGATGGAGGATGGCGACGGCGACGGCGACGGCGACGGAATGAATCAACTTTTGATAAGAGTTGTGATGCGGAACCAACGCCTGGAAATGACGTTATACGATAAATAATATTCTGTGATGTGCACTGCATGTAGCGAAATTCAAAATGATGTCTGACGGCGTTTCATTTTGGCTAATGAAAAGCGACCCAAGTGCATTTATCAAATAAGCGAACATAAAACGGTTTGTCTTGCACATAGCGTGTATGCGTTTCATACCGTGTTCGAAGTTATAGTGTAGACTACAGCTGTAAACACAAATTCTACGAATAAATGAAATATAGCTGTAAGGCGAGGGTAAAGGTTTGGTTAAGATGTAATGTTTTCTACACATCACTGATGTTGGCTTCCTTTCTTCCAGATGTTCAATTATTTTGTTGTGTTCTTCAGTTAAAGTGGATAAGAATCAAATGCCACTACATGAATTTCAACGTAGCCGAACATAAATTAATGAATACGATTGTGGTTGGGTACCCTTACTTGGGGTTGTATTTTTCTTCGGAAATAATGATGAATTTAAATTTGTTCTTTGTAATCACTTGTGAAGTAGAATCTAGCTTTGGTTGAATTCCCTACGGATCAAAGCAACGAATCATGAATATTCAATAGGAGATCTACAACATTTATTATATGTATTGTAATGGGAAAGTTAAAGTGGAAATCTGTGAGACGAAACATTTCGTTGTGGTTATCATTTGCAACCGAATCGGTAAAAGGCATGCATCAATTATTTCAAATTGTTTTCTCTTCAAAGAGAATAGCAGAATGGCGCGTTAAATAAATGTTCAACATTTCATTTTGGCATTTTTCTGCGGTTTAAAAAACGATTAACACATTTGGTGGTGCAGTTATTTCGCAATTAATTTAAGTATGAAAGTGACAAACGCGCGTGACTCAGGTCGAAATTATCATATTTTAATTGAATTTCGACGAGAGAATTGGTTTAGATAATTTTGCCACATGTTTGCCTATCGAAAATCGGTGCGGTGTACCCATAATAATATACGTATTGTGACAGCGTTGGCAATATATAATGAAGGTTGGTAGGCACAAAAATACACATACACACACACACACACATAATGGAGTATGCAAATGGCAAGTCTACACTTCATACGAGAGATCAGATATTGTGTGTGACACATGTGGCTAAAACAAGGCTACGAACAATATTTTAAACACCAATTCTATCTTTATGCAAATCGAGCCAAACACACAGGACGGCGGTACATTTGAGAGCTCCGAAAACTATTTTCACATTCAAAATACATTTGACATGGAAACAAAACAATTCAGAGCTATTGTACAATCGTAATTTGTAGGTTGCGATACGCATACCGTCATACACATGATATCAAGAGCAACGGACACCATGTATTGGGGGGAAGTTGTGTGTGAGCAATGAGCATGCATGTTGAATGTTGTTGGGAAATTCGCAAATTACGAATACATATTTTACCAAAATACAGCGTTTCGGTGGAGTTAGACGAACGATGCTTCATGAACTTCAAGTTGTTGTTACTTTTCTCCGTCTCTCTCTCTCTCTCTCCCTCGCTCTCGCTTGGTCGGAGCGCATACATTTGTGAAAGAACACATATGTATGTATGAAAACGGCATTGTCGTTGTTGTCTCGAGCAAGTGACTTAGAAATGTCAGGAAATCTAGAAAAGGAACTTGCCTTCAACATATGAAATATGTGTACTACAATAACAATGGGCTCTAACTTGCAACCAAATTGGTCAAATGCCGTTGAGCAATTTAACGAGCAAGAAAATCAAGCAATTTTCATATCATTGTTTTGGCTAACGCTATTTCATTTGCCGCATTCTCTCGTCGCAGCTCATTTACCATTCTGATCGTGCTGAATAATATGCACACAACACACATACCTAGATACACACACACACACACACAAACTCAACCCAGTTTCTCTTCGTTGTCTAAAGTTGCACTTACGATACGTATATTAATTTATGTTTAAATAATGCTTGTTGATTAGATAGTAACCGCTTTCGGGTTGCTGCACAAAGCACACGTGTACACCGAAATAGAGATTATTATGGGCTCAACGGTTCGCAACAGAATGTAACGGAACTGAGACGAACAGCGTCTGCTTCGAATCAAGTTGAGTATGGTGGCCATGAGCATGAGCACATTGAACAAATTACACACATAATTACGGAAATCAGACATGGAATTTTTGCTGTTTATTATGAATACGGGCTCAAGAAGGAGAAGAAGAAGAAGCGCCAAGACTTGTCCCACTCGTGTCATACATCCTCAATGTCCGGATTTATATTTTCCATTCAACAACAGCAGAAACATCACGAATTTCAACTTTGTATAATTTTATAATATTTGAAGCATTGTCTTAACAAGATAAATGCGCTCTTCTCGCTTCATTTGTATTTCTTTGAAAGTTGGCGGTTTCATGTTGCTGCTGAGTCCAGCATCTATGGCATTACTCATGTTTGCCATGTAAACATATATGGATTTATTATTATTGTAAGATACAGCTTCCCTCGGCATGGTCACAGAGAAGCGTCTTTGAAATGAGATGTGGCCAAATCAAAGTGATTCCAATGAATTTTTCAATATCATTTCAGGCTAATCAAACAGCGAGAATTAATCGAAATACATTCCGATGAAATTTTCTAACTGTAAAATGAATTTGCTTGTTGATGGAATGAGCACGAATTGCCAATTAACAATGGCAGGCATCACAACAACAGTGGATGGCTCATTTGTGGGCCACATATTTTATCATTCAGTCTTCCTTTTTGTACGCAGAGCAAATTGTGTGAAATTGGCAATGAAAATCAAATTAAGCGTACAAACGCTCACAAAGTTACGAGTCGAAGCAAGAAACAAAACAAAAAAAAACACAGCGAAGAATAATTGGCTTACCTTACGTTATATGTTTTCTGTTTAAAATGCTGACATTGGAAATATGAACCCCAGAAAAATTGTTACCAATCACAAACCAATCCAACGTGAGACGTAAAAAAACCTCAACTAGCGACGATGTTACATTATTTTGGATTTGTTTGCTGAGTGTTTTTCTATTCGGCTACGATGTTCATTCGTGGAACACAATGTGCCATGACCAATATTTGCACCAGCAAATATAGTCTATGCACGCACACATACATATAACAAAATACTGCAAAGTCTGCAGTTCGAACGAGAAGTTTTTAACTGAATTTACACGAAAATAAATTTCGCTTTCATAGTTTCCCCATTCGTATGCAGTAAAATTGCGTATTTGTTTAGCTTACATTCCGTTTTATGTATAATATTATTCTTGATTGATATAATTTTCACTTGTGTTAGCACCCCGAAAGTGTGATTGCCAAACTTGCCAAATATGCCAAACACACACGCGCACGCACACACACACACCAAAAATAAACGCGTGCTATCGCGAGAGCCAAAATATGCAGCGTAATAATTCTTGTTTTAATCCAATTTCACGATATGTTCCAGTTAAATTGGGTTATTGTTTACACGCATCGAACGAAGACCTCCATTGAATGGTCGACGAAAGAGCGTCAAGTATTTATTGAATGCTGAATAAATACTGCTGCCACAACACACACTCTTACAGTCGCATGCAGTTCTCAATACAATAATAAACTTTTTTGAGTTATGTCAATATCCGCATTTGCTGTGTGTGTATTTGACATGCTACTCTTATACGACATTTGCCTTGCTCTTCTGTCATTATTTGTGATATGCGTATCGATTTTCATGCTCAAACACAATATTTTTTATTTATTTATCAATAGACATTCTTTTCGCGTAAAAAAAACGTATTCTTCATCGTCTATCGGAGACAATAACAGCCACATATCTCATAAGAATATGAATACCAATTTGGTGCTCTTGATTGAGCATTTCATACGATAGCTGAGAGCACTGCACCTAACCAATGATAAACATTTAATTTAATTAATTATTCGATATTTTGGAATATCTTACATATAAATAGTAACGGAATTTAAGCGAATGGATGAGTACGATGACAGAATGACAAACAGAATATTGCTTCGTTGCGCATAAAACAAACCGAATGTGTTGACTTCATCGATTTTGATGGCGCTAATTGAATTTTAGTGAAAGTTGTGGTTTTTCCAATAATTTGCTGTAATTGCACTGCGATGTTCAATGTTTCTGTGTGTGGCAGTTTAACCAAATATTATTAGAAATGCATACCTATTGCCAACAAATTATTTCATTGAAACGATGGATTTTTTTTTTATTAATTACAAATACAACGCACACTCTGTTTTCACTGATTTTTCTAATTATTGGCAAATAAAATGAGTTGATCACCAAAAAACCACCCACAATTTAATTCGTTCGTCAATTAATAATTCGATTATGATGCAGTCAATTTAATCAAAAATAATGAATTGAAAATCCAACTCTCACTTTGATCACAATGGATTCGTTTGAAAAGAATTTAATTGAACAGAAATGAAGCGACCATCTTCGGTCATTTTTAGCTAA